CCTCAGTGTGAAAAGGCAGTTCTGTGAGTCACTCGGCAAGCTGGGGGTGCTGCTCAGAGGTGTCTGGCTGTAGGTGGATGAATGCAGAGCACTGCCCGTCCCAGCAGTGCAGCTCTCAGCAGCCCGGTCACACCTCCTTACGCTTTCCTATCTGTTACCTTACTAACAGGGAAATCTTTGGGGATTTTTCATTTTGAAGTTCCCATAAGACATGCGTGGCCACAAAATCTGGTTACTGTGTGACCTGTAGTACATTGATGTGATCCAGAGATTGAGGGTAGAAAACGATGGCCAAAATCTCTGTGGCTTTTGGAAGTTGTTTGCTTTGTTCAGTGTAATTTTAGTTTCTTATGAGGACTGATTCTACTCGTTGTCATGAAGCTTAATTGCCTGTTAAATCACCTGCCGATGCACTTAGTTGTTATTTCTGTAGCTTAAAACCTAGCACACGCTACAAGAATTAGTCTGCTACAGAGACGCAGGTGGTAGGGACAGGAGCTCAGCAGATGCTGTGTATTTACTGCTCCCTTTGCTGCTCTAATGCTTGGTTTTGCTTCAGATTGAAGGTAGGCAAAATGATTTGTGGTCTTCATGTTGTCTGCTCTGTCCTGCTTTGTTATTGAATACGTGATGATGGTGATAATGATCTAGAAATAATTTTTTTTAAAATTATGAGCATTAAAACTGAAAAGCGAATTTGGGATGCTGCTAGAGAGTGCAGTGTTACTTCTGTATTTAAAAATACTGGAGGAGGGAGGGGTTTGGGCTCCCAGTGCTTTTCCTTTGCCTCAGTTTTGTTCAAAGTCCCTTCAGGACCAAACAGCTCACAAATGGGAGATGGACAAGCTTTGTTTGGTTCCCAAAACTTCTAAAGGATCAGAAATTTCTGCCATAATCCTGTTTGTTTCTTTGCTTTATAGTCACAGAAACAGTGCCGTCTTTTTCATAGTCAAGTATCCTGGGAAGCTTCAAACCAAAGTTGTTCTCTCTCTTCCTGTGCAATCCTGGCTTTCCTAACTGGAGTGGAGGGATGGATGCATCTGTGTTGTTTTCTTTTCCTCCAGAGTAGATATGAAATGGTGAGGGCAGCTGAACACTGTTGCGCAGGAATGATCCAGCCTAAGAAAATTCGGATATAAAGACTTGTTCAATGATAGAGAAGTACACTGTAAATATCCCATCCAGGTGTGGATATAAAATCAATAAGCTCTGAAATCAGAAGTGATTCATCTTAAAGCATAGAGTTTGGGGAGGCGGAAGTTGTGTGTTCATTCCCTGTTTCTGCCCACAGTCCACAGAGGTTCTTAATAATTTAAATTTTCATCACTTTGAAAATGGAGCTTCCATCAGAACGTCCTGTAGGATAAATTGTAGAACATGAGCACTATGGAATTCTGGATCAGAAGCTGTGGGTAACACCCTTATCAGGGAAATTAAAATGTGTGCCTATGTAATTTCTGTTGTGAAGTGAAAGGTGAAGAGGAGCCAGAGCAAATGGATTTATAGTACAATTCTAAAATGACAAAAGCAGGAAATTTTCAATTACAACTGATTTTTTTGGTTAGCATAGAACTGTACTTCAGCACACAGTGACAACAAGCTGCTATTCTGTTATTATCTTTGTCTCCCTGCTCTGCTTAGGAATATGGCAGCTTGCTTCTCAGCATTTGGTCTGCACCAGCGTGTCTCCAGTTTCATGGAGCAGCATGGCTATAGGTAGCTCTCCTGGGCCCAGTTTTGAACCGGTTGGATTGAGTTGTGCTGCTTCATACATCAGGCAACTGAGTTTGTGTCTGCGTGCAGAGCATTTCAAGCAGAAATTGCATTTTGTTTGTCCATGACTGCTTTTAATTGATTGGCAAAGGTGTGGTAGGGTTCATCCTCCAGAATAACAGCATCTTGGCCACGTAGTTGGAGAACCTTGGGTGGTGCTTTTAGAGCCCACAAGGTGTACTGCAAAAGAAAGTAAGGTCCTATTTCCCTATGACTCACAGCTTTCTGCCTTATTGCTGCGGGTCTAACAGGCTTTGTGTTCCTCACACTGCTGCTCCAGGCTGTTGCAGTGTGATGTCCTTTTTGTCATTACAACTTTTGTGACCATCGTTTACTTTTTTAATGATGCATCATTGTCACTGTCAGGTAAACATAACAAACACTGCAGTCCGTTGTATTCACGGCATGTTCTCTGTAACTTCGGTTCTGTTTGGTCTGTAGAATTGTAGTGAGCTCATCTTGACACGGTTTGAAAGCAGGACACAATACAGCTGGTACTTGCTTTTAAGGCAAACTCAGAGCAACTGTAAGATTATTTTTTTCTCCCCACATGTTAATACTTCCTTGGATACAGGACAAAGACACGCTTATTTACGGCTCTTTACTGTAATAAGTAAACTAATGCTCTTATGCATTGCAGACTACTCTCATGCATCCTAAGTAGCTGTAGGGTGTTGATAGCTTCAGTGTGACTCTAAAGCCAAGTAAAATAGCCCTGTGTGCTGTCATCAGGTTTATTACAGCGTAATTTCCTTTCAAAAACAAGCCTCCTTTTAAGGACTTTTATCTTAAATAGCTAATGAATGTAGTGGCATTCAATAACAAAATACTGTTATGATGCCAAAAATAACTTATTGGTCTCTTTGATCTTCATTTCAGCTGAAGATATAAAATTCCACTAGAGACTTTAGACAACAGGCTCCATTAATCTCAACAAATTGTTTCAAAAAACTGCAGCTATAGATGTTGATTAAGACAGTGAATAACCTTGGGTTTTAATTTTCAATACAATTCGAGTTAACTCTGTATTAATTGGAGTCACGCTACCAAGTCATGCTGTTTTGCTCTGAAATCTGCATGTTACTGCTTCTGTTTATCTTGTCTTTGATTAATCATTCTCTCACTTGTTGGCAGCAGTTGCAGTGGGCAGGGAAGTGCAGTTCCAGGTGGAGCTGAGGGCTGCGCTCTGCAGCATGGTGCTCCTGGGACTAGGGAGGTTTCCACCTGGCACACTGAGGGCTGCCTCTAGTACTGTTAAAGCCAGTCTTCTGTCACTAACAGAGTTCCCATTTCATTCTTGCTGTGTCTATGTTGTGTAGCAGTGTTTGGTGTAGGTGTGATGTGTCTGTTTGTGTCCTGTTTAATTTCATCTCTTCACCATAAAAACTTGCACAGCTATCTAAGAGTAAGAGCAATCCAGATGTAGGCACGCATGATATTTATGTGTAGCACCTCAGTAGTTACATGCTTCCCAGGGATGCACCAACTGATGTATTCATCTCCATAGGAGCGTTGTGTGGGTGCGTTAATGGAGAAGGCACTGAGACCTGCAGTGTTTGCACGGCACAGACCTCTTTTGGCTTCAGGGACTTAAACTCCTGGTGGCGGTGTTTCCTGAAGTTGGGCTGAGGGAACAGCTCGGCCCTGGAAGCCCAGGAGCAGCCAGGCCCACCAGCAGCTGGCAGAAGGGTTGTGCTGTGCTGCACCTTCACGTCTCCCCAGGTCCCTCGGTTTTCTCTCGTGCTGGGCCTGTGCCATCGTGTGCCCTCTGACAGCAGTGCGCGCTCCGTTCTGCCTTTTAAAAACATTGCTGTGGGCCACATGGCGCTGTGGGGTTAGCAAGGCTGCCCCAGGTTTGGGCTTGAGGCCGTGGCGAGATTCTCTCTGACGGTGACCTGGTTATATCCCCGTGAGGAGCTTTTTCAGAGGCGTTCTTCTCTTTGCATTAGCCATAGCTTGTGGTGATTGCCATCCCAGGCTAATAGGCTGTTGGCACAGTTGTCTTGCAGGTGTTGGATGTAATTCCAGTAAATGCTGGGTAAAAAGTAACATAGATATTTCATCCCTTGGTCTCTTACAGAAAGAAGCTTTTGTTGTTTGTAACATACAGTGCTGAAGAATGCAAGACAAGTCATGGACTGAGTTCTGTCCATGCTCTGATTCAGTCAAATACACCCTTTGGATGTTTCAGTCTGTTTTTTTGACACCTTTGTACAACTTGCAGTTATCAACATGTGATTTATTTAAACATGTGTGCAGTGGGGAAGTGTTGGATCCTGTGTCTGATCTAAGGATGTGCTTCTGTGAATTACTCCTTTTTGGTGATCCCCTGGAGCTTGAAGGGAGGATGTGTGCGTACTTGGAAACTAGAAACAATATATTTCAATAAAATAACTGTTACTGTAATGATCATTACAGAGAACAAATGAAATTAATTTCACTACTCTGTGCCAGAGTTCCTCTGTATTTTGTTGGAATTAAGGGGTTTTTTGTGTCTGCTTTTTTGAATATGATGTTAGTCAAGCTGATGATGTGTGTATGATACTGTAGAAGTCTCCACATTGGTGGCACTGTGTGAAGACTTTGTTATTCCAGGTCTAGTAAAGGCAATGTAAATGTAGCTTGCTGACTGCGAGCAGCACATATTACAGGGTAACTCGCATCTGCCAAGTTGGTTGTCTGCTTGTCAGGCAGTTTCTGAGCCACAGCTGCTGTGTGCGTACTACTTGCTTTCTTGTTATGGGGAGAGAATGCATATTCAGTTTGTGCCTTGTCTAAACAGTAAAAGCAGCAGTTTTTCTCGCTCTAGTACTGGCACAATTACTATAAACTTTTTTGAAAGCTTGGGGCTGGATATAGACTGATGCCTGGAATTCCCTTGCTGGTGCCAGGGGCAGGCTGGGAAGTGCTGGCTGAAAACCTCCTCTTGGAGCTTTTGAGCTGGATGTGCTTTAGGCTTACAGCTGCATTCTTAGTTGAAGACTGAAATGTTCTGTATAATGCTGACTTTACATAGTGCAACTTCTGATGTGAAGGTACTTTGGCTTAGTGTTGCTTCCATACGTATGGTGCAAGTTAGTGTAAGGAAACTAATGGGAAACTAAATCTTGCTAAGTGTTGCAAATCTAGATTTAAAAAATATATATATTTTTTATTGCATGATGCTCATAGACTGGTCCTTAACTAGGAGTGTTTTTTTTTGTTTTGTTTTGTTTTTTTTCTTCCAGTCTTCATGAAGAAATCATTGACTTTTATAAGTATATGTCTCCCAGACATGAAGAAGAGAGAATGCGAATGGAAGTGGTGAACAGGATAGAAAACGTTATAAAGGAACTCTGGCCTAATGCAGATGTGAGTAGGACACTGTTCTGTTTGTTAAAATATAAAAGACAACATTTTGTGCCTGCTTAGTCTTTGAAGTTCTGGAAACACTGTTTATTCTTCTGTTTAAAAATAAATAAATAAATAAGGCTTTCTAGTCAAATAAGAGAGGTGATGTTTATTTCTATGGTAATATAGGTCAACATTTTATATCACACCTAAGAACAGAAAAGAACAAAGACAAGCTAGACCTGTAGTCAAAGAAAAGATGTAAGATATGGCAAAATAATGTTTAATCTCATTAATAATTATTAAGACGAAGGTGAATTTATCAGGCAGGCAGACATGCTTATACTGTACCACGTTTAAAAAAAAATAAATGAATTCTGAAACCCATAGCTGACTGAAAAAGTCTGCGGCAGGACTTCTAGTCCAAAGACCTGCAGTCTTGAATAAGTCTCTGAAGGTGGAATGCTAACAATGCCATGCTATGTAGACCATAACGGGCAGTTAAACTGAATTGAAATATCTTACAAATGTAAATTATCCAGGTTTCTGTACAGAAAAAAAACCAACTCTGCAGATCTTTTTACTATATATTGAGCTTTAAATCTCTAATGCCACTTTCCACTGAAGGTAGGTTTTTGCCAGTGCTTTGTTCAGCCGAAGCGAGTTTCTCCTCTGTATTTATGAGCTGTGTATTTATGGTTTGTTTTGTTTATAATAAATGATGGATTGAAGAGAAACTAGAAAAGCTTCTTTTACATCTCAAGAAATTTTTGTGGAGACACTGTTGGGTTTTTAGCATAATTGTTTCTGCTAACATGGTGATCATTTCCAGAATGCAGATTTGTAGCCTTAGTCATTTATCTACAGATAAATACAGATAACAGTAGCTGAAAATAAGGACTTGCTAACCAGAACAACAAACCAAATTCAGACAGTAAAATCTTTACTTTAAGGAATGCACTTTGATCCTGCCACAGTAGAAGGTAATGTTATGACATGAGTGACGTTAACCTGCTATTCATTTCAGATCTTCCTAACATTTTTTTTTGGGAAGTGTTTTCAGAGATTGGCAGAGTGACTACTGGAATTCAGTATGAGCTATCTGTATGTGTTTGTTTTAGTGTGTAAAATACACTGCTGTCTTCAAGGTAGTTCACGTGTTACAGACAGCATGTTAGTGATGTATATAATGTGGAAAGAGCACATCAGCCTCTTGACTGACTGTCATCAAAGCCTACCTCACAGAACTTCAGGGGCTCAGTGCGGTCAGTACTACACATTGGGTAATTTTCTCTTTGAGGAAAAAGCAGTAATTTTTCTAATGGAACTGTGCCAAACTGTGGTATATCTCACAGTGTTGTGTAGCTCTCCACTAACAGTGAGGAAGCAAGGATGTGTATCCTGTTCAAGAACAGGAGTGGTGGGATGCCACCGTGACAAGAAACACTGCTGGCTTTGAACAGTTCTTACTGTGATGCACCTTACCAGAGTCTTGTAGTGGTGAATTTCACCGAGAAAACACATTATTTTCAGCCTAGAAAAGATGCCACTGTTGTCCAGACAAGTTTATGTGCTGTAGGCTTACTAGCTTAATGGTGTGGGTGGATTTATTACTTGGGGATCTTTCTTTGTTACTGCCGGACTTTTGAACGGTGCACCAGAATTTACTGCTTTCCAGGGTGTTCTAACCATTTGTAGGACAGACGTAACCTGTGGAAGCTAGATCTTTGATTGATTGATTGATTAGATATATGACTTTGGGTTATTGAGAAAATATTTTTTATCTGTCTAACATACTGTTACTGGTTTTTTGAAGCCATAATCTTTTTAAGAACTGGAATTGTGCCAGCTTATAACCTGGCAATTACGGTAATGCCATTTTTCTAATACTTTACAGACCTGCTTGGGAACTAAGTGCTGAGCTTGACTTTTAACTTTGACAGCCATCTCTGATTTTCCAGTCTTTTCAGTTAATCACTAAACTTCTGAAAATCTTACTGGTTCAGTACTTCCAAAATCTGAGTACTGAGTACATGCTCTGAGAAGGTGGAGTGGCGTCTGGTCCAATGTCCTCTGCTGTAGCTGTAGTGTAAAGTGATTAGTTAATGTTTAAGCTGTTCGCTTTGACTGGTAGATGCAGCAAATCCAGCCAGAATAAACCTTCAAGTTAAACATAGACATTCAGCTTTGCGTATGTTGTAAAAATCTGATACCACGGGAAGTAAAATCAGACTTCATGAATCTAATTGTATAGAGATAGTGTGGAATGTGTGTGCACATTTTTTTTCTTTCCCCATTTTCCTGTTTCATGTCAGAAAAGGCTGAAAAAGCAGATGAAGAGGGGTAAAACTAGGTATCCTAAACTGTTACTTTATTTATAGAAGTTAGCAATTGTGTCATTTGCTCTCTTACTCAAGGGAATGTGCTTAGAAGGAAACATTCCTAGTAAGTGAGAACTGTTCTTGGCATCGGCAATGCTCTGGCCATAAGAAAGGCTTTAATTACACTGGAACTGAACAACCCAAAACATTAAATGAAGGCATTTAATGGAGGCACAACGGTTTTTGAGTAGTTGAATCTGAAAAGCTGAGTATTCAACAAGTGCTTCAATGGAGTTTAGGATGCATTTGTCATAGTGCCCTCAGCTTCATGTCTGAGTGTGTGGCCTCACTGAGGCAGTGTTGTGTACTTCATGCACTTCAATTATAAAAATACTATGACTGGAAATAGTAGGACTGTTTATTTTTGTAGACTTCAGAAAATTCATATTTTAACTTAATGATGCAGCAGAAAGAGGAATTTGAATTGGCTACGGATAGATTTGTTCTTTGTCCTGATGTGGGGATTTTGACAGGACAGAGTTCCCCATGTTTTGTGGGTTTCCAAGTTCAGTTCTGCACAGCGAGGACATATTTGGACATGTACCGTTGTGAAAGCTCCTTCAGGAACTCCGGAATCTGACTCGAACAAGTTTATGGCGATAAATACTGACAGCAGTAGGAGTCCATTGCAGTACTACAAAGTGCTGTCTTATGAAGGCGTGTTCTTACCTCTGTCTACACAGAATAAAAATAAAGTGAACAGTACTGGCACAGTGTGAAAACCAACACGTCTCTCATAATAGTATCCTGCATTTGGGATGCTTTTAATGTGAAAATGGCTATACAACTACTATGGATTGAATTCTACTTTGATAATAAAACTGAATCTTTTAAAACATCGGTTCTGATTTCCCCTCTCTTCCTCTTCCATCCCTGTAGTTTTGATGGATGAGAGAAGGATTGGAGTGTGGGTGTGGGTTTCTTTTATAATAGTTCAGTTTCTCATACTCCAAATTATTGTACAAGAGCAGATGTTCTCTCATTCCTTTCAGCAAAGGTCATATACGTTGTATCAGTAAGTTTATGAATATTTTCAGGGTTGTTTATTTAACAAGGGCTTTCTTTGCTGTTGAGTGGAACACACTCCTTTGTTTAGTAATGTGAAAGCATATTTGGACTTTCTTAACCCATCCACGATGTTTGCTTTATTATGAAAAAGTACTTTTCAGACTTCTTTAGTGGTGGAATAAAGCCTGATCTGCTGGCCCCAAACAGTTTGATAGAGTGCTTTTTTTAAAAAATTATCATAAGTTTAAAGTTATTTTTATTTTTATTGCATTCCTATCTTTAGCATGTCTTGTCTTTCTTCTTGTGTCAAGATCTGGTAAAATATTGATACTAGTGCAGTAACATCTCTTGCAATCTTTTGTACTGTGAGCAGCTATGGACTTTGAACATTAAGTTTACTGCAGTTACTGTGTGCTTTTTGTTGGCCTTAGGAATAAGAAAGGTTAAAGAGTGAGGTGATGCAAAATAATCAAGAGGAAGAATTTGTGTTCTGCTTCTTAACCTTTTAAAGTGTAAAAGCACTTATTTACAGAACATCATCTTTTCCTGTCTCCCTCTTTTCTTATCCCGAAGGGAAAAAATATGAAAAGTGGGTCACTTGATGTACACATAGGTGGAAATCAGGCTAGTTTGTGAGACTCATTAAGGCAGAATATGTAACTGTAAGGTGGCTCCAGGAAGTGCATCAGAAGACAGTCTAGTTGAAAATTAGTCCAAATGTGTAGATAACTTTCCTTTGAAGTCTCCCCAGTCCCCTCTGAGACTTGGATTGTGAGCCTGACCCCCGGTGAGGCTTGGTACATTAAAGAGATTGAGGTTTCGGACAGCTTGCAATACATACACAATGTTTTAAACTTACAGTGCTAATAAAAATCCAGCACAGTGAACTGAATCTGCATGATCATGTGACAGTCCCTGAAGCTATTTTGTTGTTGCTGTTTTAGAGAGAGTTGTGCTACCTGTATTTCAGGAAAAAAAACCAACAACAAAAACTATTAGGTTTAAATTTTTTATTATTTTAAGTATGCAAAGCAACAGAAATATATAAAGCTAAATTCTGAAAATGTGTTTAAAAACAGAAGGGTATACTTAAAGCAAAACAGAATTGATCTGACTTTTTTTTGTGTTGTCTTTTGTGTGTGTGTGTGTTCTGTCAGTCATCAGTGTTTTAAAATCATCTGGTTTATGGCTTTTGCCAAACTTGGTTATAGTAAAAATCCCGATATTAAAAAGTTTACTGGGAGAAAGGTTGAAGTCGTTAATGTTATTATCTGTGCTTTTGTAATCATTAACTATTTATACTACGTTAGGTATGTAAATGCTGTGGCAGAAAAGAGTGCTTTCTTTCATAACGTACCTGCTAGCAATACCTAATTCTGCCAATGGAGGGTAGCAGCAATCATCCTGTACAAGCAACTGTAGAAAATTTGTCTTCTGAAACCTGTAAGTCTGATTTCTTACGCACTGTTCTTGTGTTCCAGGTGCAGATATTTGGAAGTTTTAAAACTGGTTTATATTTACCTACAAGGTTAGTAATTTTGCTGTATAAATTTCATACAGGAGAAAGGATATCCTGTGGAATCTGTAGCCCTGTAGAGATTTTTCCAATATCCCAGTATCTGTTACTTGTGCATACATGTCCACACACTTCTTTTAATAAGAAAGGGTTGTGCCATTAATACTCTGCAGAATGTGCAGAAATCCAGTAATTAGTGCTACTAGCTGTAATACATCTATATAGGCTTCACATTAGCAGTAAAAGATCTGAATTACTACACTGTGGAAAAAAAAATCACAATTTTCTTTTCTTTTTGACTTTATTAAGAAACTGAACCAAAATAACAAGTCAACCTTCTTATAGAAAAGCCAAATTTCATCATCTAGAGATGAAGACATGTAGGGCTACCTTCTTAATGTTAGCATTGAAGATTAAAAATGTATATATCAATGTTGTACCGTTTCTTTTCCTTTATCTTCTTTTGTGAAATCTGTATAGTAGTTAACCTCTACCTTTTCAAAATCTGTTACTAGTTTTCATAAAGAAAATCATTGCTCTGTGACTTTATTGTCTTCTGTATAGAAATTTGTAAGTATTTTTGGCAATTAAATAGAAATAGAATCAAAGGCTTAAACGGCTGCAGGAAATAAAGGCATTTATGTAGCGTAAGTCTGAGATTAACATTTTAATTCAGTTCTGTAGATATGCCAAAATATTCTTTGGGAACATGAGAAATTAATATCCAGTACTGACTGTGAGTGATACCTGAGTCATCTCACCTTGTGATGTCAGATCATGAGGGTTACAACGTGAACTGTTGGAATCTAAAGAGTTGCAGAAACCTGAATTGGTCCTTTTTTTTTTTTGGTAAGAAGTTAGAAGGCCTACAAATATACATTGTTTTCATTCTTGGCCTCATTCTCGGCCTTTTCAAGATAGATTTTAAATGGGCTTAATTAAACTTGATTGTATACTGGTAATGCAAGAGATTCCTATCCACGTGACTAATAGCTATAGTTCTGTATGTATTTGCTTGACTGTTTTGAAGTTGATGGAATAACAAGAAAAGGTTTGTTGTTTTCTACTTGATTCCATATACTTTGTTTTCTCCATGTTGGTTTCAACTGAGTTTTTGGCGGACTGTGTTTTTAATTCTGTTAATCTGTGCTAGAATTTCTTTAATATCCTTTTACTTATACAAAATCTTTGGTATCAGTTATGTGATTGTTCTGCTGCTGGGTCTTTGTATTATCTTGCAGGTAATATGTTTCCTCAAGTGATGAGAGGGCTGCCTTTTCTTTCTTAATATACATAAGATGTCTCCTACTGCCTCCATCAGCATCACTGGTGTGTTAAACACTAGTTTAGTTAAAGTAAATTAGAAGAGAAGTGTTCAGCACCAATTCCTGCTCTCCAAGCAGGTTTAAACATGGTTATTGGAAACGTGCTGAATGCTACCTGTCCTTGTCAGCTAAATGGTATGCAGTTGAACTGGTGCTGAACTTGCCTGTTGCTGACATTAGTTGTTGTCAAGAGATGTTTCATCTAGTGCAGATGTAGTTTCTTTGAATGCCTTGAGGATGTTGAAGCATTGTTATTTGTGAATGAGCAAAGCTATGAAACCTACGTGGAGTAGAAGGGAGAAGGATAGGGGTAGTGTTATTACTTTTCTTTTTTTTTTTCTTTTTACTGTGTTCTGTTATGCAGTTCTCCATATTCCTGAAATGACCTTAGCTGTACTTAACTATAGGGTTATACACTCGCCTTCTTTGCATAGGAAATCAAGAAAAAAGACAAGAAAAAGAGTAATTGGGGTTTCAGCTCCTTGTGTAGCCAAATGAACATCAGCGTGCGTTGGCAGGAAGTTAGAGGGATGGAGATACTTCTTCAAGGAGCTGAGTTAATGAGTGAAGTTAACTAGAAGGTTTGATCTTATTTAACAGCTTGTTGCTTCCTGAAAAGTTGCCACGTTTTTCTCTCTCCTTCCCTGCTCCCTGTTGTTAGCACTACATGCCAGCTGCTTACCATGCGCCCACTTCGTTGCTGGGATCATGTGGAAAACAACCTTTGAGTTGTGAGGAGGCAGGAAATTACCCTCAGAGTGTGGGGTTTTGTTTTGTTTTGTTTTGCATGTGGAGGGAGAGGGGTTGAGTGGGTTTCTGCCAGGCTCATTAGTATATGAATTGATTTGCTGTAGGTTAGACAAATACCAGACTTGGACTAAAGAGGACAGGACTGTGCATCTGGGAGAGGAAGATGAGGAGCAGGGCTTTCCCTTTCAGTGTCTAGCTGTTAAATTGACTTTAATGATGAATGCAGCCCTTATATGATTCACAGTTATTTACCTTCTTGCTCTAAATTACTCTGGAGAAGCTGATCCCTCTCTGCTGACTGTGTGATGTGAGGAGATTCATGTCTGACTTGGGCAAGCCAGTTGATTGTACGTGTGTCAGCCCTCTGCTCTTGGTAATCTGAAATGTTCTTTATCTTCCCAAGCGTAAGAATTCACCCCCACCCCTTTCCAAAGAATATAAAGAATAAATTATTTGGCTAAGCTGCATTCCATCAGCTTACTTCTAGTTACATGTGGGTATCAATTGTCTGTCTTTTTGGTGTATTGGTCTTTTAATTTGAATGTATCTATGTCTTCTTTTCATTTCAGCGATATTGACTTAGTTGTGTTTGGAAAATGGGAGACGTTACCTCTTTGGACCCTGGAAGAAGCTCTTAGAAAGCACAATGTAGCAGATGAAAACTCAGTAAAGGTTTTAGATAAAGCAACTGTAAGTTTGGGAAAAGAAGGGTATTTCCTTTTTTAAACTAAATTTCTAGACTAAGGAGGATCGTGTTAAAAGGATAAATACTCATAAGCAGAAGCTACTTCACATCAAAATAGAAACTTTTTATTTAATGATGGTTTAAGTTCTGACAAAATAATTGGTGGTGTTCCAAGAAAACATTTCGTCTATTGGGAAAAAGTCTTTAGAGTTTCCACACAGCACAGCATATGCTTGCATTCAAGTATGGTTATGCTAGTCATTGAGGTGAATTAATGAGATCAAACTTGTAAATTTCTGGACAGAATTTGTAGTAAGTAAGTGAAATATATGTATTTTTTATTGTAAGTAAGCAGACATAATATGCTTTCATATAGAATTAATGAGTACAGTATAAGTATTGCATAAATATTTAATGGTATTTCTTGTGCAGGATGGGATTAATTCTATTCTGACTTCCTCCCTTTTGCTTGTTGTAAGACTGTGGTAAGGGTGTTGAAGTTTAAGCAGATGTCTGACTGCTGTCATTAGTGAAAGACATAATTTAGAAATCATGCAGGTGGAGATACAGTAGAGCGCTCTCAATACCTTCTGCTTCTTGTTTAAAGATAACATTGCTGAGGAATCTGTGTGTTTTCTTAGGAGTATGTCTGTTACCATTTATTTCTTAAGCGTTTGTCTCCCTCTGCTGTTTGTTTCTCCTGCTAGAGCTGCGCTGCACCAGAAACTGGCTAAAACTAATGTAAAGTAAATAACTTTGAAGCTGCAGTGTTATGTTTTGTTAAAACAGTGTAGTGAACTGAAAACAACATATATGAGTTAAGAAAAGCAAAATTTGAACAGGTAGGCAGTGTGTGTCCATAACTAGTTAGGAGACCTGTTTTTTTAATTTGCCTTCTCCATGAATTCATAAGATATATTGGTTTTATTGATGCATAGCATTAAGAATGAAAACAAACGTGTGTTGGAAGTGTGTTGACTTAATCTGTCTTTCTTTTGCAGGTACCTATTATTAAACTGACAGATTCCTTCACGGAAGTAAAAGTTGATATCAGTTTTAATGTACAGAATGGGGTTAAAGCAGCACAGCTCATCAAAGATTTTATCAAGGTTAGGCAATACTGTGATAGGGCTATAGAGCTCTATATTCATGTGGTGACTTAATTTGTTTTACTTTGAGCTGCATCCTTACTGCAGATATGTATTCACAGTTAGTTTTTGTTGTCTGGTAGTACTGCATGTAATTCTTAGGTTTATTGCCATCAAATACATGAAAAGAGTAAAATGTACAAAGGGAATACATATGGAAATGTTACAGTGGTACAGTGACTAATGAAAATGCACTAATACTGACTTTGAATGTTCTCTCTTTTAACTGTGGTTCCGTGAACATAAAATCAGTAGTGCTCTGCAGTCTTGTAGCAGGTAGGAATAATCTTGGTCTCGATTGAATATCGTTCCAGTATACAAATGCTGATAAAGTTAGACACAGCAAGTTATGGTTCAGGAGTTCCCTGATAGCTGTCTCATGGATCCTATTACCTTTTGGCTTTTTTCTCCATGTGTTGGATGTATTACAGTATCTGGATATTACAGTGTCTTTATATACTTCTTGCTATTCGGTGTATGGGACGCTTGTGGTAGATGTTTTATCAAAATAGTAGAAAATGTTACTTGGATTTTCATGTTCTGTGTAAGGATATGAAGTGCAGTCTCATTTTGGTGATGTGGTATTGATTTTCTACTGCTAAGTGCTTTGTTTTGTTTTTAGCCTAACAATAAGAAAAAGTATTTCAGTAGTTAAATAAGCAAAACTCCTTTGGGAAAATCTGTAAGTCTGAGTAAAGCAAGCACTGTAAATCAAAATGATTAGAAATCATGTACATCTGTCTTGATAATGTCATTGAGTTGCAAGGTAACTTCCAAGTATTGGGGGATTTTCTCAGTTGCTGATGAGCTAGATGTATGGAGTTCAACTTGTTAATTGTTCATTCTTTTATGTATATATAGTAGTAAGTATGAAAGTAACTCAATTTGCTTCTATGCTGTCTTCTACTTAAACCTACAGAACTTCTATAGCAGAAAAAAAATCTTTATTCTTTGCTCAATTTTGGCATAATAGCCTTGAGTACTTGTCTGTCTAGTCCTGTCTGTGTGTGCTTACATAAACCTTCCTCATAAAATTTGTATATGTGCGGCTTTTTAGCATCAGCTGTTTGTATGCATCAGGGTATCCTGAAACTTTTGTTCTTCTTTTTCAGAAATACCCTGTATTACCATATCTAGTTTTAGTATTGAAACAGTTCCTGTTGCAGAGGGACCTTAATGAAGTATTCACAGGTGGAATTGGTTCTTACAGTCTTTTTTTAATGGCTGTCAGTTTCCTTCAGGTAAGCTTAATGAAATCTATTATCTGTTGATGCTAATGGGCATATATTAAAGAGTTTAATTGCTAAACTTAATAATTTAATCCCTTTTGTTTGTGGTTTTGCACTCCCTTTTCATTTATAATAGTCACATCGCAGCTGTCTTCTCTTCTGTCTTCCATACTGCGAGGACATGTTTGGAACATCCATTAGTGTATTGATACCAGGTCTGGAGCGTGGTACTGCTAGTGTTAGGCACAGCTGTTCTTTGTAACACTTGGTTTCAAGATCATACATTCTGCATATAGTTAAATGAATACAACAGAATTTTATTTGCTTGTTTTGGTTTTTCACCTGGAAGAGAATAAAGATTTTACTGTCTGTTAAATACTAGAGAACAGAATTCGTAAGCTAAATCCATGTTGTTATTTTGGGCTGAGAAAACACTTTGCGGAGGTACAAAGTAGCAAGTTCTCTCTTTTAGCCTCGTTTTTTTTCTTGTGTTTAATCTTACTCCTTAACTACGTGTGTACACTATGTGTGTGTGTATATTTGTACTTTTTCACACTGTAGTTACTTCTAAACCTGACCCTTGAGCTGGAGATCAGTGTTTGCTCAGTGCAATTTTCAGTTGACAGCCAAGCAGAAAAGAAATGAACGTAACAGGCATATCTTTCTGAAACAAACCCAAACCTCTCCCTTTCCCATTTTTTAAAAACTGTAACTAGTGGCATCTCCATTTGCAAAAACTGATCCAGTCAGGTTTTATAACAATTACAAAACCAATCTGTAATCTCTTAGGCTGCGTGCCTAACAGTAAGGGGTTTATTTCTATAGCTTTGTAGATTGAAATCCTGTATTTGTATTAAAAACCCAGGTTTTTGAAGATCAAATTGATTCTGGAGCATTCTTTTTTTTGTGTGTGTGCTCTGCCATTGGCACTGAAGTTGACTTACTGAACTGAAAGTTCAAATACAAAGTATATAAATGTTAGAAACGCCTTTAACATTCAAATATAAAGGCAGAAATACTTGCCAGCCTTATTGTAAAGAGGTAATGAGTTTATAAAAGCTTTGATTACATCTTGTTTCAAAGAGGCAGGACAGCTTTATCAAGAATGGTTGTTACATTCAGATATGTCTGCTTTATTATTATGTGTTACTTATATTTCAACGCGCTTGCCTTGAATTAGAAAATAATATAAAGGTAAACAGAAGAGGACTTGCGGGCATTTGAAGTATTAAGAACATTATTTTTTTCTTCTCTTCTTAATAGCTGCATCCCAGAGAAGATGCCTGCACACCCAATGCCAACTATGGTGTTCTTTTAATAGAGTTTTTTGAATTGTATGGACGTCACTTCAATTATCTGAAGACTGGAATCCGAATAAAGGATGGTGGCTCTTACGTTGCCAAAGACGAAGTGCAAAAAAGCATGCTAGATGGCTATAGACCATCCATGCTGTATATTGAAGATCCATTACAGCCAGGTATCCTCACAAACCATGCTTTTCTGTGTTGACGAAGAGAATGCTAAATTCAGGAGTTAAACCAAGGAATAGTGTAGTGACCACCAAAAATCTTAAGAAATTGCTTGTGTCTGAGAGCACAAGATGCACTCAATGTTGTGATTTTATTTATTTATTTGTTTATTTATTTTAAATGCTCCTAGCAAATTCTGTCTTGCTATCCAAGAGTGTGCCTGTGCTTCTGTCAGGAAATATAAGTATAAAAAGGCACACCAAACAACTTTTCAGCCCTCAAGAGTTGTGACAGCGATACAGCTGCAGGAATGCAGGCACGAATACGGGCTGGCTGTGTGTGCATACCTCCCTTCCAAGCCTGTGCCTGCCTCTGTCGCAGTTGCACCTTCCTGCTTCACAGTATATGCTTATGCCCATTCTTCTCATTCACAGAATCACAGAATTGTAGGGCTTGGAAAGGACCTCTGGTGATCATCTTGTCCAGCCCCTTCTCTGTGGTTCTTTAGCAATTGTAATCTGTCTTTTTATGTTAAATTCAGTTGTTAACATGAATGCTGGACTCCAAAGTGGCAAATGAAGTGCTGTTTTAGAAAAGAGTGTACGTTCGTCCAATCTGTCGCCCAAGATAGTACTGTTACATTTGTAGTACATGCAGCACCTGATTTTTATTTCTATTTGTATTTTTATTCCTGTACTGAGCTTTTACTCTTTTTGGCTTCCGTACATGTAAATATCTGTAGTAGTCTTGTACTGTAAACGTTTAACTGTAGTGAGATGGAACTTAAGGACAGTTAAAAAAATCAAAAACAAAAAAACATAACTGTCCCCTGTCGGAAAGCAGATAATCATGGTTTCAGTTTCACATATTCATTTATATTCTTATTTTAAGGTAATGACGTTGGCAGGAGTTCATATGGTGCCATGCAAGTGAAACAGGCTTTTGATTATGCCTATGTTGTTTTGAGCCATGCAGTTTCCCCAATAGCTAAATATTATCCCAACAACGAAACTGAAAGGTAAATTTTATGAGTCTAAATCTCAGACATTGATTGCTTATGTTCTTGTGTACCTGAAATTAACTGTTTGGAGTTTTTTCTTTTCTCCTGGTTTACAGTATATTAGGTAGAATCATTAGAGTAACACAAGAAGTGGCCACCTACAGAGACTGGATATCAAAGCAGTGGGGAATGCAAAGTAGGACTGACTCTTCGTGTAATGGTAAGATTTGACTAAGCATACAGGATAGAGTTCCTGTACATTTTGATTATGTGCCTTTTTTTGTTGCTTCTGCTCCACATAAGGTGATGCATACATCTTAATATAAGTTTATTTGCAAAGTGAAGATGGATTTTCTTGTGTTTTCACCCAGAAAATTTAAACTTCTGCAAGAAAGGTTATATCATAGCATCACTGTTCTACAGTGTTAGATTTGGTCAGTATGGAAGTCTGTAAACAGTGCTGGCTTGCGAAACTAAGCTCCTGACAAACATGAGATTTAAATCACATGTTGTTATTGTCACACTTCCTTTGTGGATAGTGTTTGAAAAGTAATTATTAGGAATGCTAGTTAAAATCCAAATCTTTACCTTTTGTTCAGCTTTTATTTTTAATGTTTAACATAATGTCTATCTACAGAAGCAGTATTTAAACAAGAATTGACCATATAAGTAAAATAAGTCTTTAAAACAGAAATAAGACTTGTGATTGATGTTTTGTTATTACTAACAAATGGAAACACGCAAGGTCTATATAGAGATCTTGTTGAAAAGTGTATTTTAAAATAATCTTTGTTTTCATTGCCCAGTAACAAGTTGTCACTCTCTTTGGGTGTAGGTGTATGTGCTAGCTGGAAATTTTCAAATTAATTACAGTACTCTACAATTAATTTTAGAATGTTAGCTACCAGAAGTCTTCTCCAGTTAGCCATTAAATCAGAGAAGACACACAAATACTGGTCTTCAGGCTAGGCTGGGGTTTTATTTGTTTTTAAAGATATTTTTAGTGATTTCCCCAATGGCCCCCAGCGGGCCATTTCTGTTTTACCTCTCTGTAGATCTCTGTGGCACTGCTGTACCACTGGCAATGGCAGTCAACCGCAGTTTGGTCCTGCAAGCTCCGTAGCATGACTTATCTGCCTCTTGAGACGTATGAAGCTGTATATAAATAAAGCTAGTGGTGCAATAAACGTGTATTACATAATTCTATTAGAAAGCCAGTTCAATCTAAGTTGTCCAGAAAAGCCTGACAGCCTTTAATGTGGATACTGATTACTGGGAAAGAAGCAGAGGTAACTCCAAGGTGCAATGTATGGGACAAAGCAATTATTTAGTAATAATACCCTTATATTAGGAAGGTAATGGTGACAGTTGCAACGTTCACCTGGCAGGTTTAGTTTAGATTAAAGTTCTGATTCTTTTTATTTATTAAAGTAGAAGTTAAGAAATAAGAGTTCTTTGTCTTGTATTTTCAGTTGAGGGAGTTATACAAAGCCAATGAGAGTTAGTTGAAGTTCTTATGACCCTAGCAGCTCCAGTAGGAGCTTCAACTCCAGCTAGGAGTTGCTGAATGCTGAGTGCATAGGAACAGTATTTAGACCTAAAATAAAGCTAAATATAGAGCGCTGTTTAAGCATGCTATAAAGCACTTCTATTAATCCACACATCTGGGCTCTGTTGACTTCCCTCTTCCACGCCTCATCTCTCCTTCATCCTGAACTGTGGGTAATGCTTGGTTGTTCTCATAGTGTACAAGAATGGATCTTGTCAGTAATCCACCGTAGTCTCTGCAAAGTATTTTTGCTGCATGCAGTACACACACACAAACATACAAATGTGCTTGCATGTATTAAAAGTATGTACAGACAGATGTGTGTCTGTGTCCTGCTGGATGTAATAGATACATAATACCTGAATGGGTGCATATATTGAAAGAGATAATAATTAATGTCACTTAATGTATATTGATGCTTCTGTCTCATTTTTAATAGGTAACGGAGTAACCCTGATAGTAGATAATCAGCAACTAGACAAATGCAACAATAATCTCGCTGAAGAGAATGAAGCACTGGGAAAACCTAGAAATAAAACTTCAGAAACACTTAGTAAACATTCTTCAAATTCTTCATCAGGTCCCTTATCATCGTCGTCATCTACACTGTCCAGCTCTAGTGATGTAGTAAGTTGGAGGTTTTCTGCATTTTGATTTTAAACTGTTCTCTTTATTGGTGTTGCCACAGAGGACGTTTGGAAAGCATAGAACCAGAGTTCAGTATTTCATCCAGAATCCTAACCTGCGTAAATGTCCCCTCTTATGCAGTTCTTGGACACGTAAATTGCAGTGTGTTTTTTGACACCTTGCATATAAGGAAGTCAGTGCAGTAGATACAAAGCTTCATAGCCCTTTTTTATCTCTGTATTTTTTAAAAAGACTGGTAGTCCTGATCTGTACACTTAAAAAAAAATTAGAATAGAAAATAAATCTGTTTGAATGAGATTTCTATTTAAAAAATAATAAATGAAAAATATTAGATTCCAACACTGGAATCATGAACCAATATGCTTTAACATCAATCTGTTTAGTCAGTAAGAATTCTGAACTGAAACTTTAATAAACAACATTTCAAGTTTCATCCATTGCTAGCTTTATTTCTAAGGGAAAACTCACTCACTTAAAGAAAAACATATTTGTTCTTAAGAAAAACTCACTTATACTTTACATTTCCCTGAAGGATTCTGATGGAACACCTTGCAAAACCTCTAAGCAATTGAGTTGTCGCCAGCCTACAACAAACAGAGTGGGGTCACAAGAAGTATCACTGGAATCCTCCCAGTCAAGTGGGAAAACACAAAGCAGCCAAACAGGCAATACATCCAGCAACACGAACAAATCTCAGGTTTGTGAAATGTTTAAATGTTACAGCACATACCCTCTATGGAGGGATAGTTTGTTCTGGAAAGAAAAATTGTGTTTTTCTCCTTTGTTCCACTAGAAAACTGTTTGCATTCAAGTCATCCAGTTGTCTTTCTAGCTTAGTTTTGTGCTTTTTCCAGGCTTAAACATAATGACAGTAGGATTGACTTTATTTTGGGAAGTCTAGACTAGTTAGAAGTACGTGTTTGTGTTGTAAAAATCTTTTTCGCAAAAATTTTGTCAGTCCATTCTTAACTGCAAAGCATGAGAAATAATTGGACTTGTGTGTGCTTCAGTAAATAACAGTAAGCAAAAATGTGTGTGTAAAACAATGACTGACTGCTGTGTTAGCTGTTGATCTCTGCTGAAATGCCTTTTAGTAAAGGAGATAAAGATGCTTGCTGGTACATGAAATTCCTTCTCCTTTCCCCTTAAATTCGGATATCTCTGTGGTGAGACCTAACAGCTTATGCACCAGGGGATTTATCTTTTTGAAAAACACTTTGGTGACAGCTCAGTAATCTGGAAACACAGTGTGCCTCTATATTCAGTATACCTCTGAATATATGCAGGTCAAATTTTTCTACTTCTTCAGAACTTAGGACTATTTTAATGGGTGAAAAATAGTCTGGAACCTAGTGTAATGTTCCTGAAAAGTAAATTTGACGACTTGCTGCCTCCTGTTTGCTGATGTTCTCTAGCTAAGAATGAGACAGTTTAAACAAACAGGCCTTAGACATACCATTCATGTATGTTTGTGTTATTGCACAGAGCCAGCTGTGGTACTGGCAGGTGAACACACACAACCTGAGGTACTGTACATCTGCAGAAAGATGTGATGTGAAATTAGTCTTGATCTTAAAGGAATGTTGTCTTAATTTGCGCAGATTATGAGATTTGAGCAATCTTCATCTCTTCTCGGATTATGGAGTTCTGTTTCTATATAACACGTTTCAGATGGGTGCACAGTGGGTGAAATAGAGCAGCTCTATCATTTTCAACATTCAGAGTGCTGTATTCTTCACTCTGTTGACGTGTGGTTTGGATCTAGAGATGAGATTTGTTTGCAGTTGGCAAAATGAAAGATTTGTGGTTTCATTCTGCCGCTCAAACAATGGCCCAGCTTCTGCCTTGCCAGTTCCTTTGTGGACTCATTTTCATGAGCTGATGTCCTTGTTATCCCCAGATAAGATTGTGTAATCGCCACGCTTTCTTCTTACCATGGACTTACTGGGCCCTCTTTCTCTTTGCAGCATGGATCTGCACGGTTATTCCGCTCGTCTAACAAAGGCTTCCAAGGTCCAGCAAATTCAAGCCACGGTACCTCAGTCACAAACAAACAACATCAAGGCAGCAAATCACACCATCAGTATTTCCATGGCAAAAAGAGGAAACACAAGAGGGATGCAGCCCTTTCAGACCTTTGTAGATAGTTGCCTATTTTATGACTGTTCTTCTGTGTGCAATGATCTCATGCTACAGGATAGTTTGATAGTGACTCCTTGGATCTCTTCCGGAGCTTCAGACTGTTCGGACATTGATTAGCAACTGCATTTTTTTTTCCCAGCTCGCCACGGAACGGATCATGAAGATTGATCACTGCAAAAATAAAAAATAATAATTAAGAAAAAAAATAAAAAAAAAAGAAAAATAGAAAAAAAAAATAAAGAAAAAAAAATTAAAAAGAACAAAAAATTTTAAAAGGAAAAAAAAAAAAAAAAGGAAAAAGTCTGCTCATTTGAAAAGTCATATGCTACAACAGGGTCATTTAGGATATAAAAGCTTGAATGTAAAATAAATGTATTTCCCATCAGCTCATGCTGACCTGTAGGGGTAGTACTCAGTGTGTCTAAGGGGTGGTTAACAAAACACAGAAAATAGGAAAAGAATAAAAAGGCAAAAATTGTATTTTGAGGGAAACCCAGCCTTTAAACGTGAAAGTAATTTGTGCATGATTTTTTTATTATTTTTGCATATACTTACCATTTTATTGTGTATATATAGATGACCATATAGGAAAACTGACATTTGTAATAGTGGATTTGTTAATACTTTTTACATAACATTACTGTTTAAATTGTAAACATAAATTTTTCTCAGGATTAGTTTGGAAAATAATCTGAATTGTCATCTTAACATCCATATAAAGAGACATTACTAGTTATATTGCTCAGAATTTCTTTTCTTGGCATTAAGGTTTAATAGAACATTTGATCTGCAAAAGCTGTTCCTCTGGAAGAAAGTTTTATGGTGACAAATGAAACATTTCATTTGTATAAGTGTAGCTGTACTTTGTGTAGACACTGAGCTTGTCATCTCGGAGAAGTAACTTTCATCTTGTTTTCTAGAGTGCCATCATTTCAGGGCAGTGGGGTTTTATAGTTGCACCCTTCTCTTCCTCCCCTTAGTGGTCCTCCCTCCCTCTTTTTTTTCTTTTCTCTTTTTTTTGATGTAAGCCACTTTGGGGAGGGCTGGTTGGTTGGTGTTGGTGATTCTTTTTTTTTTTTTCCTTTTTTTTTTTTTCCCCCTTAGTTTAAAAAAGCAAAACCAAAACAACTCGGTTTGCTACAGGCCGTTTGCATTCCTGGGCTGCTTGGATCCCATGCCTCTTTGTTTGTGCCTTCCCTCCCCATTCTAGGTCTGTTTTTTTGTCTTTTATATTTTTGCTAACTCCTGTAGGAGATGATAACTGTTGAAGCTTTAAGTAAATTTTACAATTAAAGTATTTTTTCTCACTCCCCTCTAAGGCATTTTTGTATTTACACTTAATTATTATTAAAAAAAAAAAAATCAAATGATGAAATATATTTTGTATTGCCTTAAAAACCCAAACCTTTCATATCTCATAGCATCTCTTCGTTGAAGTAATGATCACTAAATTCAAACTGCGCATTTGTCTGGTTCAGTCACGTCAGCCTCGCTGCAGTGAGCTCCATGCCACGAGCGCCCATCAGAGCGTAACTGCAGGTATCGCTTGGAAAAGGGGCTGGGACACTTCAGTGCTAAAATGTTGAGTGGCATTTACTTTCACACGTTTCTTTTAAGAGAAAGTTTGTACCCGGCGTACGTGGCTGTATTTAATGCAGCTGTTCTGGAGATGTTGCTTTTATAAAAAGTAGTGTTAGCTTTTCTTTTTTTAGTACGTATACAGTTGTGGATTCTACAGACCAACCTGACCTTTGATGGGCACTAATGAGTGCAATGATTTTTAAAGTTAAAAAAAAAAAGCACAAATAAGACCAGAACTGATGTCATCACTTAAAGGAATAAACATTTTCAATGTTAAAGTGTTTTACTTCAAAAAGGAAAGAATACATATATATATTCCAAAAGTATGGAAAGTCCTAACAGTTACTCAAACACTAAGCTTAAGTGATGTTAATTTGACAATATTTAAAAAAGAGATTCATATTTTAATTTGATCAGATAATTTTATCCACAGGACGTTGAGCTTTTATTCATAGAAACTAGTAAAAGTTATTCCACATTATGCATAATCACAGTATTTATTTTGTTTTAGATTATTGTGAATGTGTAGACTTATGTTCACCGCTTAGGGAACAATTATTTATAAATTATATTAATCCAGTATTGTTAGCTGCTATTAGCAAAACTGTTCCAAAACTAAGTACCTGCAAAGATCTGTATTTACCACACTGAAGTGTTTTTAAAAGAATCACCCTCATTGTTGAAAGCAAATGTACTCTTAGGGTGCAGATATTAGTGTTCCAATAAGCATGTGATAATTTTAAGGTGGTGGTAGCGGGAAGATAATCTTGATTCCATTGGGAATCTTAGGTTTGCCTCAATTTATGGTTTTCATAAATTTAATGGAAAATAGCTTTTCCTGGACTGCTCAAGTTTCTTTTTGGTAAACAGTATCTTTCTAAAAGAAAAAAAAAAAAAAAAAAAAAAAAAAAAAAGCATGAAGGAAGAATTGAGGTATTTTACATTGCCTCAAATGACCAGCATTGTATTCATAAAATACTGTATATCTTGCAAATCTTTATTTAAACAGAACAGTTGAACTGTTCATTTTTCAATCTGAAGTAAAATACTTTCAAGACCTTTTAGTTTGCCTGCTCATTTGTCTTGTACATTTCATCTCTGTATTTGACTCAAGTCTAATTCCTTTTTGAGTTTCAATACTTTTGTGAAGATTTTGTGAATATATGAAAAATAAATGTTTAATCTAACTACTGCAGTTTATCACCATTCTTGGCACTCACCCTGTTTTTCCCTTCACAGTACTGAAAAGAACAGAGTGTTCAAAGCTCTTTAAGGTTTTGTAGTGTCTGGGTGCTTCACCCGCTGGTTGCTGGGCACCTCTACCTTTTGCAGAGGTGGGCCTGCCCTGCAGCTTTTCGCTTTAAGAGAGCTGAAGCAGAATATTCTGAGAACAAGTTGTAAGGATATACGTGTATACAGGTTTTTTTTTACTATGACCTTTCTTTAATTTCCCTCCGTTCTGAATGTAGGCAACTTGTCCAATCTTGTGTTCCGTTTGGAGTTGTCCAAACCTTGCATTCTGAGCAGGGCATTGTGGATGTACACAGAAGTTAATGGCAGTTGCCTTCGGTGGAAACTTTGTTAGCATAAATCCTGAAGCATGGCTGATTTTTATGAGTTTATGCTCTTAATTCTATTAACTAATTATAACATAATTATGCAATTCCTTGCATAAATCAGTAGGAAGATATATACGTATTTACGTATTGAATTCTTCCTTGCTGTGTCAGTTTGATAACGCAGGCCTTCTAAAACACCTAGAGATGCTGAAATGCTTGCACATCCTCCTGTTGGGACATCGGATTGGTGGTTTGGTTGTTGTTTGTTCGCATTTTTAAAAGGTAGCTCAGATTGTTTTTATTCTTAAAAAGCTGTGTAGTTATTATTTTTTTTTACAGCCATCCTTTTACAGTGTGGCAAAAAAAGAAGCTGAAATGTAAGTCAAGCTTTGTTTGTGACTCATGACGTGATTCTCTTTTCTCTTTACTCTTTATCTCCACGTTCCTTGCAGGATTCTCAGAATTTACAATTTGGATTTTCAGTCTTGAAGTTGTAGGAAAATAATCTTGTTAATCTTTTGAAAATAAAAAGCTTTCCAATTGGTGGCAAACTTTCCTTTTAAATGTACTTAAAAAATGGAAAGTTTCCATTTCATGTCTGGAGTCATCTTGTGTGCTTCCTAAATGTAATGTGAGCAAGTGGTTAGACAATGGTCTTATCATGAAAACGGACATCAAGTTAAAGAGGTCAGCATCTTGACATCTGGTGGGTGCTAAAACTCATGTGAGATGTTACCATGTGACTCCAAAGCAAAACAAACAAACAAACTATGCAATTACTTTAGAAAGGGGAATGCCCCATTCAGGGGCTGCAACAAAAAATACATTTAATTATTCCAGCCAGTGTTAAAGTGAAAAAACTAGTGACTACTTACACTGCTGGTTCCTACAACTTGATTCTTTTGCTTAGAAATGCAATTTTCTAGAATCAAATCTGCTATGTCTTGCAAGTGTTTCTCTCTCCTGAAAGGGAAAACATATGAGAGCTTTGTTTTCTAATCTGTAGTGCTTCCGTGAGCTTGTTAAATAGCTTCTCAGAAATGTTTTCCAGTTGCAGTGACCAAAGTGCTAGTGTGTCTTGTCTCTACATCCATGAGCTATTGACCAGTACTTCTGATAGACAGCTATTCCTGGCTTCACCTGTAAGTTGAAAGCAGCTTCCTTACTTCGTGGTCCTAAAATCTGTCACACTTGCAGAGCTCCTTTTGTTAAAGTTAATGGTCTTTTTCCAGTAATAGTTTGTTCTGAGCCTAATTACTGATCTTCAAAGGTTGGTGATTAGGATGTTTGAGATGACCCCAGAGAAATGATCCAACACATAGAATCCTCTCCGAGTTACTTAATGGAATGCTGTTCTGAGTAATAGAGGGAATAGAAGAATTAAAAGTTAGATAGCCTTATTAGGTTGACAAGCCCAAAATTTGAGCATCTACTTGAAAAAGGAATAAAGTAGCCCAAAACCAGTTACTTGTGCATTTTAGTATGATAGTGCTAGATTAATTTAATCTACGTTTTAGGTCACACAAAAATTTAGACAAGTTAATTTTCAATAGTTTTGATGTTAACTCTTATTATCTAGTGACCATGGCCGTTTTATTAATTTCTACCAGAAGTGTGGTGCCTTTATTAGACTTCTCAACCACAGACACGGTTGGGGTACAGTTCATACAATTCTTCCATTGCAGTAACTACTTCAAATAATTGCTTCTTCCCATTTGTTTGTTCTCCTACGCACCAACCAGTGGTGAATGTGAGTATGAAGCGGGGCAAGAGAAAGAAAAAACATACATTTTGTTTTCTGCAAATGAGTTGGTAAAAATGGATGGGATCCTGAAAGTCGTTTGTGTATGCAAATAAGCAAGAGAACACCAAGAGAAAATGAATAGAAGAAATCTTGGAGATACTCCACGTAAAAGTCTTATAGAGGAATGCCATCTTTTTGCCTTCCAAGATGAAAACGATGAGACACCACAAGGCTTCCGGTGAGTCAGTTTGCTTGAGCATTCCTTACCAGGTACTGAATGAGCTGAGCAGTAAATCTCACCACTGAAGTCTGTTAGATTCCTATGCT